GCTCCTCACTTGGAGACTGCAGGCCCCACGGGACTGAGGGAAGCCTGGCGCTCGCCCCGCCCGGCAGCCCAAAGACTGAGGCATGGCTTCGAATCGAACTCAGAACCCTCCACGCCGCCCTGAACATGGTGACTCCTGATCCCCACGGGGGCCCGCGCCGCGGCAGCCGCTCCCTTCACGGTGGGACCGGGGTCACACGGGCGCCGCCATGACGGTTAGGCTCGACCAATGGAAGCGGCGGGGCGACCCGAGCAGCCGAGGGCCGAGAGAATGGATTGGTGGGCGGGACTCCAAGATCACAAGGAATCGGGGGGGGTGGGGAGGAGGAGGAAATGGTGGTTGAGAGGTTCGGCTGGCGATTGGACAGATTGGGGGCGCCGAGTGTGGCTGGTGCCGTGATGTGCTATATGAACTGTAACGTGCCACTTTTTTCTTTTTCCTGGGCCTACTTGTCTCTCCAGCCCCCTCTTATTTTCCTGGCCTTAAGCCTCAGTTCTGTTGGGGGGCTTCTGCAGGCCTGCCCTCCTGGGCTCCTCAAACTAGTTAGTATTCTCTTTTCGGCCTCCTAAAATCGCTGGGCCGGAATCCCAATCGAGTTACCATCTCCGGAAAATTAACAGAGCCACATGTCTGCACGGTGAGAAATCCTATGCCTTCAATAACTTCAAGCTGTGATATTTGTGAAATGAGGAACTGGGTGTAAAGGAAAAATGTAAATTAGAAATCAGAAACACATTTTAATCCCTTTGGTGCAAAGACCCTTCTCCCTCAGGCTTTTCTAAGAACATTACCTTAGAAAACTTGTAATTGGGAATTCTTTCAAGATGTGTGGAAATCTTACAAGTCAAGTAAAACTTCTTGCCAGTTTCACAATCCAGCAATGTTTTTCTCAAGGACTTGAGAGAATCATCTCTTTGAAATATAATCATTAGAGATTGTGATGTCCTGACTTTCTGTTTAGTTGGAGGGATCCCCAACTTCAAATGATGCCTATCTCCAAGTTGTAAACCTTTATGATAAATAGAGGCCAAGTTAATTTTTCACTTTGGATAAAGGCTATTATCAAGTACAGATGGCTACCCCATTTAAAAGGCAAATTTAGGATGGACAAAACGGTATTGTCAAATCCTCTTAATTGAACCTAATTACTTTTTATCTTGAGAAAGTATGTGGTATGTGTAATGAACTGTATCCACTTGGCTCTGTAAAAGAAGGATTTCTTTCCTCTCTGCAATCTCTATTTTTTTTTTTTTTTTGATCAGTCCTGGGGCTTGAACTCAGGGCCTGAGTGCTGTCCCTGAGCCTCTTTGTACTCTGCCACAGCACCACTTCTGGCTTTTTCTGAGTGGTTTATTGGAGATAAGAGTCTCATGGGGGTTTTTCTGCAAGGCCTGACTTTGAACTGCAATTCTCAGATCTCAGCCTCGTGAGTAGCTAGGATTATAGGCAGGAGCCACTGCCGCCCAGCTGCAGTCTCTTCAGTGGATCGCTTGTTATGCATATCATGTTCTGACTTAATGCATATTCAACAATAAAACCTTTTCTTTCTCTTTTACAGGGTTTCTGGGCTAGCAGATTTTTTTTTAACTCTGGTACTGGGAG